TTGCTGGGTTCATGAATTAATCTTGAATTAATCTTCACACGTCATATAACTTTTATTATAACTCGAGAAGACTCGACACGTTATTAAACTCTGCTATTGCTTATCAAGCTTCTTGCTTATCGAGCTTCTCAAAAGCCAAACTGATCAACTTTACTTTTCATAAATTATTCAATTTTACTTCCCGAGCATCGGATTAGTTTAAAACTTCATCATTTTCTATTTCTTATTTTGTAGAGTATCGATCAGTTTAGAGGCTCATATAATAGTGTTATGTACAGCAATTTTATTTATCCGCATACTTAAATGATAAATAGATATTATTTCGTTAATAAACATGTTTTTATGAATCCATTGTTTTAAGTACGACGGAAAAAAGTTTATACATTTCACGCACGTATGTATATACACAGTATATGATTTTTCAAGCGCGTATTATTTATAAAGCAGACAAATTTTATTGACATTTCAAATAATTAAGTTGATTAAAATGCTTGAAAACATTACAACAAAGACGTTCGATTTTTCGACATTTAAATTGTTTCCATTTCAGTTTAACTTGTTTAGCAATTTAGTTCTTATAGGCACGTGTATACTTTTATTAATCATGCCTAAAACTTACGAAACATTTATGCGTACACACTTGAGATTAATCTGTAAGTAAGTTTTACTCAATTGAGAAATAAAACTTAGTGCGTTTTGACGAACGATTATTTCTTTATATAATAATAATAATAATGCATATACCATAGACACATTTCGTGACTCCAGAACCATGAACCTGCGATTGCCGATGTCAGTGCGAAAGGGTTTCCCAGCGCAGCTACTAAGAAATCTCCAACCTGTCAGAATAAACGTGTCAAGCATTACAAATACGCTTGCAACTCTTTAAACTAATCGAATGGCATAATTATGCATTTAGAGCCGTTACATCTCTTGAGATTACAAAATACTATGCGTTTTTTTCCTGTCATAAATACGAATTACTTATCATCAAACATATTGCATTCTTAATATTTATATGTATAAAGTCGATGTAGAAATATATTTAAACAAGATTTTGTAATAATATTGAGGACTGACTACCTTTCAAAGTTATTAAAAGTTAGTTTTCGTTGTCTCTTTCATCAAACGAGGTGAAGCTTCTATTTCACACCATTATGTTGAATTGCAGTGTACCACTAGAGACTAGCGAGTTATTTCGCAGAAGTTCGGAATTCGGATAGCAAAACAAACAACATGAGTTTAACTAACATATTCAAATAATCGAAATTGGATTCAAAGGCAATAAATAAATAAAAACACGCGTATAATCTAAAACATATACGCTTAAAAAAAGCAATCTTACTTTTTTGCGAAAAATTGTGTGTCTCCTTTCTATAGAATAGAAGACATGTTTCTATGTTTGGATTGATAACTTTTTATAATTTCACGGTGTTTTATGATTTCTTTAAACTTTATTGTTAAGCAATTTTTTTTATAAGAGCATTATTAAAGTGTAGTTATAATGTAACAACATTATTATAATATATTTATGTAGGGTCGAAACATAATTTATTTTTTAATTTAATGTTTTAGATGAAATTCGTACACAGGAAAACATGCTGCGCTTGATATTCATACCTTGCTATACTATAGTTCTCAACAACTCTGTATTTTTTTTTACATTTGTATCATTAATAAAGTTACTAGTTTTTTCCTCATTTTCAATTCATCGTGTGACATTGTTGAGAAAAATTCTTAACTGTATGACGAAATACACTGGTTGTCATATAAATCCAACCGTTTTATGGTCTTTAATCTTTATTTCGTAAGACCTGACATTTCGAAATATGTTCTTTCTAATGCTTAAAAATGTCCGCTTAAGTAAAGTATCTTGTATTATTTACTTGTAAGCATTTCTAGAAAAACTGCATATAATAAAACTAATCGAACAAGGAGGTTAACTTTTTTGAAAATTAATAAAATAGGAAAGACGTAATATAAAAAAATACCTTTGTATGATATGTTATATTTTATACACAAAATTTTGTGCAAGTAATAAATTGGTAATTTAAGATTTTAAAAATAAAATGTATAAATGTGTTATATATAATAAAAAATATGCTAATTTTATAGCAACCTTGAGGAAAGGAAATTTTATAGAATTGCAATTAGTAGTAGTATTTTGGGAAAAAATACTATAGCTCTTTTTACTTTTAAGTAAATTAATAATTTTCTAAAATTTTCTTGTGCAGAATAATTAAGTATGTACTTAAATTATTTACATATCCAAATAATTATACATTAATTAATTATACAATGTATATACAACGTAAATGTCAAAAATTGTTACAAAAATATTATTTAAATATTCATATGTTACTATATAATAATTGAATGTGCGCAATTTCGAAAAGAACACATCTCTGAAAATTAAAATTTTTCAAGAATTTGCACAAAAAGATGTGTAGACGTAATTAAAGTAAGTATATTAGTGAAAAAACGTATAGGTCAAAAAATGCGAGATTCGCCCTCTTCGAAATTGCACATTCAATCATTTACTGCAATAATTCGAAAACGCAATTTGTTATTGATCCATCGTATCATATTTCGCTTAATCAAGTATTCGTTCCTAATTTCATTTCCCCACAACAAGTTTACCTATTTTATTATTATCAAGTTTACATATCTCTCTTTACAAACAGTTGACGTAATATCACGCTTTTATCATAATTATTTTTTAATTTAATTCTTTTCAATATTTTAATATATTTCTTCAGTGGCTTTATCAAATATTCCAGTGCTAGATCTCATCCATATTTCATTTGTAAAGTTCTAATCTTCATATTTTTACATGACTTTTTTAAATTTTTAATAAATGAAATATTACAAATTGAAATAATTATGTAACGAAATTTTACCAGTTTTAATGAACTGTTCATGTAGAGGTTTAAAGTATTCAAGTATCTGAAAATTTTATTATCCGAAAGTAAATTATTATAAAGGGCGATTTTGAATTCCAGATGTATTTAGATACTTGAGAATTCACAGGTCAATACAGTTTGGTTTTAAAGTTTATCGGAAACAGAGACAAAGGGAAAGAGAAAAGAAGCGGGGAAGAAGGGGAGGGAGGGAGGAGAGAGAGAGAGAGAAATAATGACTTTTCTTTATTTAGGATTTAGGACAGTCTATATTATAACTACTGAATTGTGAAATTTTTCTGTTTTTTATAATAAAAGTAAAAAATTCGATGACTGCCTGTCCAGTGAATTTCCTATTGAGCAGAAAAGAAATAATATTGCATTAATTGTTTTATCATACTCTATATTGTTATGTTGTAATTTCACATTACGGAATAATTGATTAGGTTTCTCTCGTAACTGTATAGCCGCAAGTATGTAAAAATTACCAATATTAATTATTAAATTGGCGTTAACTTTGTTAATTCACAATGTAAATCGCATGACAGAGAATTCCATCCATTTCATACCGCTGTAAAATACCTAATTAGAATTAATCACATACTGTTTTGAATAATACCATTTTTGCATTCCCTGCATGGGGCAGTGTGCTTTCACATTAACGTATGTGAAATTAGACAAAGCAGCAGTTTTAATTAAAGAACATGGGTGTGATTGTTTTTGTATGTTTTGTTTTTGTATGTTTTGTTTTTGTGCACTCCTTTATACTGTAATACAATTTTTTTTCTAGAAACTGACCTGGAAAATATGCAGAAACAATGATTCTTCGTTACCGAATTCATTAAAAGTTTAGCTTTGAAACTTCCACAAAGCTTTTTATTTGAGTTCTTTAGAGTATTCACAACAAGCATATTAAAGTTCCACTCAATTCTTCATTTATTTTACTCCAATAATTAAATTTGATATAAAAATGTGTTATATGTGTGTTTTAAGATATTAAACAAACGGATATTACATTCTTTAACGAAAGCTAAATATAAATTTGACAAAAATATCACTAAAATATACATTTGTTTATCGATTCTCTAATATTTTTTAAGACATCATATACAAATATATATGAAAGAAACAGAATTTACCAAACACAAGAAATTGTGAATTGTCATTGAAGTCGCAATTCGGTATTCGTACAGATTAATTTCGATTTTAATCATTATCCGGAAAAATCAAATTTAATTATGAAAATATATGAAATGTAAATAATTAATTTTATTTTCTATAAAAATACTCACGACCATGTTGACGAGGACCACGTTGGTAGGTGTCCACAATACATTGGCGTTCTTCACGACCGTTATTACGATTAACAGATTCAAGACGAAACCGAAAAAACCGATAAAGCCAAGCACGACCGCCGCGAAAGTGTAGATGTAGGTTTGTTTCTCGAGGATGGAAACATCGTTCGACAGATCAGCGCTCAGATTCAGTGGCATACTTCTTGTCGACGGATGAGACTTCCGGTGTCAATTTTTGGCAAACGGAAATCTTCACAGCAGGAAGAACGAAACCTGATTGATGAGAAAACAGTAGGATTAATGCGGCTGCGCTCTCGGAGATCCGCTGCTAGAAACTCGAGGGAGATGAGCAACGACAAACGCGGCAGGTCCGTCCTGATTGTATTAATCAAAACTAGTGGCTGAAGTTCAAAGTCAGGCTACCGTTATATAAAGCATAAGCCGCTCTCGCTGCACACCCCTCCGGCCGCCGTCCAGCGAGAACCAACCCCCAACAGCGTAAAAAAGGGTCATGCGCTGTCAAGCAAGCCATAATGATGTGTTCCCCGGCACGCTCTTTTTGGTAATTTCTAAGATTTACTTTGATGCGACGGTGAGGGGGGGGGGGTTTCCTCGATATTCGCAATCCTCGAAGCGGATTTCAACGATCCTGACCAATTTTAACTTTTAAATTCGTTTCTCTTCGCCTTCTAATTTTAACTGACTTTAGAGAAACGAAATTTACCAACGTGATAGTTACATCGCGGTTTAATCCGTTATCTTAACTAACGTTTACGGGGAGTTTAAAGTTTGACTAATTTACTTGCAGTTTTATTTGCCCTTTGTCTGTCTGCGGTTTTAGCCGAAAGAAACAAAGGTTTTAAAACTTGAAGTTTAAAATTGGTAAAGCTTGTAATCTTTGTTATACGTCGGCTGAAAAGAATTTCGCTTTAAAGATTCAAAGTCTACGTCTTCTGGGGGAACATTTCTGCGTTTGTATTTACGTATAACTTGATACTGCCACTATTGTGCAGTTATTGTGCAGAATTGCGCGTCTTCGTGCAGAGATTAAATTCTATCTATTTTTCTCGAGTTACAAGACACGACATTATCTTGCAAAATAATCTACGGAAGAATACAACATTTTTTTATTCTCCGCATACATGAATTGATTTGACATTTTATGGACAGAGCATAAAATATACATATGATAAATGAGAGATATATCTTTCATTCTTCTCTTTTTCATATAAAAATTTTAACATTATCGTAAAAAATTAAAACTTCTAAGAACAATGGAAAGACTTATGTATACATTATATACACGGAATCGTAATAATAATAATAATAATAATAATAATGATAATAATACTAATAATAATAATAATAGTAATAATAATAATAATATGTTATTCATTATCTATACATTGCACATGCTTTTAGTCATAAATCTTACATTACTTAACTTTCTATAAACTATTGCATTCATGTTTACTCATTACTCTTTATGATTCTTACATTCTACGCTTCTTCTTTTCATACCCTATCTTTTTATACATCCTTGCGTATTCGCATGCTACATTGATATTCCTCCTCAGCATTTTTTTTATCACTGTCTACTTCTCGTTCCTTGCCTAGCTCATCTAACCATTTCTTAATTTTTTCCCCAACTCCATCTTTTCTCTGTATCTCTCATTTCCTCGCACTTTCACACCTTCTCCTCTCTTCCATATCGTACGCCTCTCTCTCTCCTGCATATTTCCTTCGTTTCCAATATTTTCGCATCTCATTCTTGCCCACATTGTACCTTATCCTTCCCTTTCACACTTTTTCTCCGATACGTTTCCTGTCCTATTTCCTTTTTCCTGTCTTTATACTCCTTACAATATCGTGATTTATTTATTCTATTCCATTTTTCCCTGTATCTTCTGTCTAATTTAACTATTTACTACTCTTATTATTTTCCCTTCAATTACTTTTCTTTCTCATCCTTACCTTATTACTTATTACCTTCCATTATTAATTTTAATAAAGGAAGATAATAAGTAATAAGGTAAAGAGAAAGGATCCATTATTTCACCTCTTTCTACCTTCTCGAACGCCCTAACTACCACATATTTTTATCCAATCTGTCAGTTTAATCTTTTTTTTAATCCTTTTATCTCCTCCTCTAAACATATTTTCGGCCATCTGCTTTCTTCCATAATCATTATTCTTAATAGATATTTATTCCCTTTAATCCTTGCTTGTATTTTGACATTTTTCCTTTCCGCTTCCATTTACCAAATATATGCAGGTGTGTGTGTGTGTGTGTGTGTGTGTGTTCCTATTCAATCCCATGTTCATTTTCATATACCTACTTTGTATTCTTTCTCTGCTTCCTCCCATCTTTTCCAACTTCAGATCTCTGCCGCATATAACAGTAGACCTGATCTGTCAATAGTGTTCATTGTGTACATTCCTCTTTACAAAGTATTTAATTTTGTTCTTATTATTAATAAGCCTTTATAGGTTGCATTTATCGCTTTTTGACATCTCTCTGTTTGTGCTAACACATGTCTCCTAAATGTATTTTTGTCGTAAACCAGAAACTCAAATGCTTATAACTGTACCTGCAATTGATATCATACCGAATAATCTTTTAATGCGATAGACAATTAAAAAATTTAAAAAAGCAAGGCTTTGGCGCCAATTAAGAGACCATTTCTTATTTTGAATTATTTGATTTTAAAAGGTTTTTTCCTTTTCAAAAATTTCATTAAAAATTTCTCGACAGGTATAAATGCTTAATTAAGTTATCGTTAATAATCGACCTCAAATTGGAAAGGACCTTTAAAAAAAAAATGATAATCTCTGAAGAAAAAAAACGCATTTACGTCACTCGTTGTTTAATTATTGTCGGCTAAAGCTTATCGTTG